AGTCTACTTATCACTGATACTAATAGATTAATAATGATAATTGAATTAGGTAAGATAATATTAATCAATTGTAAGGATATGAGCATTAAATACATAATTACATTAAATAATGTACCACTCATTTTTATAGTATGTACATTATTTGTAAATTTCAGTTCCTAATATGACACACATTTTCCATTCATTTTGTATACTGTACACACTACAATACCACTGTATGTGTGGGTGTGTATTTACAATCACTATAAATGATACCATTAGTTTATAAATTAAATACATTTATTTATAAATATATAATGTATCTTATTGTCTCTCAGTATATAGTGAAGCTGGTGAGTGGATAGTACAGTCAGTACTGGATGGTAATGATCTCACTAGTAAGAACTATCAAGAAAAGTATCAATCGTACAGCAAGACCAGAACATGGTGGATGGATCAGCTAATAGAATATCCGACAGAGAGGGAAATGAAGCTTCAGAGATATATACAATCTTTACATGAAGACCTACAAGTGGCTCTTGAGAGCCAAGTATCACTACAGGAGGCACTGGTTGAGACCAATAAACAAGGTACATAGGATACTACACACACACACACACACTTTAACTGTACTAACTGATTACTATTATGTAGTATTGTGTGGTTATTGGTAGTGTGAGTGTGTGTATTAGTACTGGTTTACATTATGATACTAGTGGATTAGACAATGTTGAGTATGGAAATAGTACCCTGTACTCAATATAGGTCAAATTGTGGATGCATTAGAAATAATGAGATTCATGTAGGGCGAGCTCTGCTTACCATATATGGTATGATTAGCAATAATCATAGCACATATATTTATGGGCTACTGTACATGCAGTGCAAATTTGTATAAGCTAGAAATAATATTGAATATGATTATCTAATGGTTTGTACATTGGTTGAACCAGTGTTTGGTGTGTATATATTATCTGTATATTCTGTTGTGTTATTATGCATATACTGATTACTCTCTTCTTTTATATTATTATTCAGTTAAAGGTGATGATAGTAATGACTTTATAAGCAGTGTATTAGAAGAAATGACACTAGAACAGGAAAAGTTGATTGAAGAGAAACAGATTATTACTGGTTAGTGTATCATCAGTACATAATATTAGATGAGAGAATATTCTATTAATGTAGAAGATTATGAGAAACTTAAACTCAAAGTTGCTGATGTGGAGGAAGAATATCTCAAGGAGAAACAGATCATTATTGGTTAGTTAACTATACACACAGCATGTATTAGATGAGAGAATATGTTTATTGTGTAGACGACAATCAAAATCTCATTTCTGAGAAAGACAAAGTTATAGCCAAACTGACATCACAAGTAGAGGAACAATCACAGAATGAGAAACAGATCATTACTGGTTAGTGTATCATCATCAATCAATAATAATTTTTAATATTCTATTAATTTATAGACCTTAAAGAAAAGGAGTTGTACATAGCCAAACTAGTGAAGGAAAGACAAGAGAGAAGCAAAGTGACTAGTTCCATTGGACTACAATTTAATTACCTGATCCCTTCAATGGGTAAGAGTATTTGTTCCATATTGTTGTGTATAAATTTTGAGCTGATTCCAATCAAGTTTGGATTTTTTTGGAATTTCAAAGTTACTAAAAAATCAGGCCATGTACTGTATTGTAGTGCTTGTCAGCTCCTGAAGCTCATGCTGTTTATCTCACTTAACATGCTTTGTGGGAACCCTGACTGAGTGTATGCAATTGTGTGTGTACTC